TGCTGCTGCTGCTGCTGCTGCTGCTGCTGCTGCTGCTGCTGTTGCTGCTGTTGCTGCTGTTGCTGCTGCTTCTGTTGCTGTGTCTTCTGTCTTTGTGGCTGATAGTTCTAGCGGACCGCTGCTGTGGGCATTGCAACAGCGTCGCAATCTTTTGCTGCTGCTTTTGCTGTTTCTGCTGCTGCTGCTGCTGCTGCTGTTGCTGCTGCTGCTGCTGCTTGCAGGGTCCTGTGTTTGTAGAGGCGAGCAGCAGCAAGGAGACAGCAGAAGAAGACGATGAAGAAGAAGGAGACAGTAAGGAGACAGCAAAAGGAGACAAAAGCAGCAAGGAGACACCTGATGAGGAGGATGAAGGAGACGATGACGCAGCAGACACAAAAGACAGCAAAAGCAGCAGCAGCAGCAGCAGCAGCAGCAGCAGCAGCAGCAGCAGCAGCAGCAAGAGCAGCAGCAGCAAAGAGAATGAAGACGGAGATGATGACGATGATGATACGAAAAACAGCAGCAAAGACAAAGACACAAAAAAGGAGACAAACAGCAGCAAGACAGACAAAAAGGAGACAGCAGATGAAGAAGAAGACAGCGAGGAGACAAAGGAGACAGGCAGCAGCAGCAAAGACAGCGAAAAGGAGACAAAAGAAAACGAAGACAGCGACAGCAGCAGCAATGAGCAACCACCTAGTCAACCAGGTCTGTCTCCACCGTTGCTGCTGCACTTGCTGCTGCAGCTGTTGCTGCTGCTGCTGCTGCTACTGCAGCTGTTGCTGCTGCTGGTGATTATGCTGCTGCTGCTGTTGCTGCTGCGCTTCGGTCCCCATGAGGCTGGCTGCCGTTGCTGTCTATTAGGTTGCTTCCTGCTGTCGTTGTTGCTGTTGCTGCTGCTGCTGCTGTTGCTGCTGTTGCTGCTGCACCTTTCGACAGCGAAGCTGCTGCTGCTGGAGCAGCAGCAGCTCGTGCATATCCCCGCTAGCGTGTTGTCTGCGTCTGCTGCTGCAATCTATCTGCTGTTTCTCTACTCATTCTTATTGCGTTTGTTCTTGTTTGTGCTGCTGCTGCTTGTGCTGCTGCTGCTTGTGCTGCTGCTGCTTGTGCTGCTGCTGCTTTTGCTGCTGGTGCTGTTGGTTGTGCTGCTGCTGCTGTTGCTGCATTTGCTTTTGGTGCTGTTGCTGGTGCTTTTGTTGCTGCTGCTTGTGTTGCTGTTGCTTGTGCTGCTGCCTCTATTACTGCTGTGTCTGCTGCTGCTGCTTCTGCTGCTTCTGCTGCTGTTGTTGCTGCTGCTGCTGCAGTGCGTTTCCTGATGCGAAAGGGGACAGCTCACCCCGTGGGCGGGGTATCGAGTTGGCTGTCTGCTGGTTTTGCTGCTGCTGCTGCGGAGACACCCCAAAGTGAATTCGGAGACAGTGAAGGAGACACCCCACAGCAGCAAGAAGAAGCGAGAAAACAAGAAAAGGAGCAGCTAGCTAAGGAACGCCAGGCAGACAAGTTAGAAGCACTCTTTGTTGCTGCTGCTGCTGCTGCTGCTGCTTATGCTGCTGCTGCTGCTTGTACTGCTGTTGCTGCTTGTGCTGTTGCTGCTGCTGTTGCTGCTGCTGTTGCTGCTTGTGCTGTTGCTGCTGCTGTTGCTGCTCTTTCTGGTTGTGCTGTTGCTGCTTTCCGTATTGTTGCTGTTGCTGCTCTTGGCGCTGCCGCTGCTGCTGTTCCTGTTCCCGCTGCTGAGACGTTCAGTTTGCTGTTCTTACACTGTTGCTGCTGTTGCTGCTGCTGTTGCTGCTGCTGCTGCTGCTGCTGCAGGGAGAAGCAGCAGCAGGAGACACGGAAGCAGGCAGCAGAGTCGACCCACGAGAGCGTGGAGGAGTTGTCTTCAGAGTCCTCATCTAAGGGATTAGCAGCAGCAGCAGGAGAAGCAGCAGCAGCAGGAGCAGCAGCAGCGGGAGCAGCAGCAGCTGGAGCAGCAGCAGCAGCAGCAGGCGCAGCAGCAGCAGCAGCACAGAAGGCAAAGCATCCATCCCCAGCTCCAACAGAGAAAGAAGTGGAGGCAGATATGCTGCCTGCGCAGCTGCTGCAGCAGGTGCAGCAAACAGCAGCAAACAGAACAACAGACGAGCAGCAGAAGCTGGTGCAGGCGCTGCACCTCTCGCATGCAGCAGCAGTTAAGCTGCAGCACATGGGGCTGCCGGTGACCCCGGAGAATCTCGTCAAGGCGGGGGTCTCTATAAAGACACAAGGAAAGATAGCAGAGGCATTAGGCCTCAACCAGCAGCAGCAGCAGCAGCAGCAGCAACAGCAGCAGCAGCAGCAGCAGCAGCAGCAACAGGGACAGGGACAGGGACAGCAGCAGCAGTTACCGCAACAGGTACAGCAGCAATTACCGCCACAGGTACAGCAACAGTTACAGCAGCAGCAGCAGCAAGCGCAGCAGCAGCAACAGCAACAGCAGCAGCAGCAGCAGCAGCAGCAGCAGCAGCCAGGGTTGCTGCGTGTAGGGTCTCTTGAGTTGCAGACGGGTCAGTGGCTGCGTGGGTCTGCGGGTGGTGCTGGTTTATGGGGTTCAGCAGCAGCAGGAGGAGCAGCAGCAGCAGCAGGACTCTCCCCCGAAGCAGCAGCAGCAGCAGCAGCAGCAGNAGCAGCAGCAGCAGCAGCAGCAGCAGGGGCTCATAAAGGAGGAGAAACAGAGGACCCTCTGTATCTGAGGCTAGTAGAGAACACCCCGCTGATGGGAGAAGCAGAAAGACAAGAGGTGTGGGGTGATATAAAGACAGCGAGAGTAGCAGCAAAACAACTAATAAAAAGGGGCCTAGAACCCACAAAAGAAAACCTAAAAAAAGCAGGAATCAGTATAGAGAAACAAAACCACATAGCGTGGGTACTGGGTCTCCCTTTTAATGATAAAGACAGCAGCAGCAGCAGCAGCAGCAGCAGCAGCTTCTTGCGCTGGTGGGGGAAGCTTAGCCGCACAGAGAAAGCACTGTGGGGAGCAGCAGCTCTGCTGCTTCTTGCTGCTGTTGCTGCTGCTGTCTACTGTATACACAACAAAATCCTACGCAGCATCAAACGCATGCGGTGTATATACAGAGAAGCGTTTCTGGCTAAGCTGCACCGGGAGTGCAGGAAGAGAAGGAAAGAGAAGCAGCAGCAGAAGCAGCAGATGTTGCTGCTGCAGCAGCAAATACAGCAGCAACAGCTGCTGCTGCAGCAGCAACAAACGTCAAACCAAGAAGGGCAGCAGCGTCAAGGCAGTCTAGTTAAGGAGCTGAGGCTGAAGCTTAGCCCGCAGCAAACAGGAACAGCAGCAGCAGCAGCAGCAGCAGCAACTGAAGCAGCAGCAGAAGCAGCACAACGCCACCCATCAACTGTCTCCTCTTCTGCTGCTGCTGCTGCAGCACCCTCAAGGAGACACCTCAGGGGGTTCACGCTGCGGGGGCAGCAGCTCAGCAGCCCCCTGCAGTCGCACGAGGAGACAGGCATTGACGCTCGCATGCGCTGCAGCAGCAGCAGCAGCAGACATAACCGAGCAGCAGCAGCAGCAGCAGCAGCAACAGGAACAGGAGGAGGGGACACAGGCGTAGCTGTCTCCGTTGGTGCCGCTGCAGCAAACTCCAGCAGCTATCTGCTGTCTCCTCGCCCCCACCCCACACATGCAGAGACAGAGACAGCAGCAGCAGCAGCAGCAGCAGCACAACACAGACAGCGCAGCCACCAGCCATTGCATGCAGACCTGCCTATACACCCCAACGAACCAAAGAGAAGCAGCAGAAACCAACACGATGGAAGCAGCAGCTACAGGAAACACACACGCGCATGAGGGGGCATAGCAACACCAGCTGCTGTTGCTGCAGCAACAAATGAAGCAGCAGCAGCAGCAGCAGCAAAGACTGCAGCAGGTCTTGCTGCAGCAGCAGAGTTAGCAGCATATTGTTTGTAAAGCAATCTAAGGATACTGCGAGCAGCAGTCCGGCCCCTGCAGCAGCAGCAGCAGCAGCAGCAGCAGCAGCAGTAGCAGCAGCAGCAGTAGCAGCAGCGGCAGCAGTGTGTCTTCGTCTGGGAAGCGAAGGAGTTGCTGCTGCTGCTGCTGCTGCTGCGCGTTCCTCCAGCAACAGCAGCAGCAGCAGGTCAAAGGGCCTGAGGAAGTGTGCCATCCGATTGACGTGCTGCTGCTGCTGCTGCTGCTGCTGCTGCTGCTGCTGCATGCGCTGCTTGCATGCAGCCCGGTGCTCTGCTTTGGGGCTGAGGGCTCCTGCAACCTTCGCGTATCCCAGGAGGGTAAGAGTACGAGCTACAGCTAGCTAGCTACCTAGCTAGCTGGCTAGCTAGCTACCTAGCTAGCTGGCTAGCTAGCTACCTAGCTAGCTGGCTAGCTAGCTACCTAGCTGGCTAGCTAGCTACCTAGCTAGCTGGCTAGCTAGCTACCTAGCTACCTAGCTAGCTAGCGATGCACGGGGGACAGGGCTGGCCTACAGCTCACCACCCTCCTGCAGCATCTCTTCAACATCTTCGCATGCATGCAGCAATGCATGCATGCATGCGTTGCTGCATGCATGCATGCATGCGTTGCTGCATGCATGCATGCATGCATGCTGTTGAGCGCCAGCCGTAATGAAGGATTTTTTATAATAGAATTAAAATATTAAAATTTATATTTATTATGTTAGTTAAAATATTTAAATTTACATCATATTTATAAATTTATACATTCATATATATATGTATATATATATATATATATATATATATATATT